GACCTCATCCAGAATGGCTGAATTAGGGGGGATTAGCACCAGATAAGTAGCTAGGAACCCAGATCATCGTCACACCTACAGATTAATTTTAATTCATGCTGCAGCAATTATTTCTCAAGCTGAGCTCTTGTCAGGTCAGAAAATCTCTAAATCAGGATCAGTCCTGTAACAGACCAATTTTTTTTATTTATGGTTGAAGTGAGGAAAAGTCCCGTCAGGGTTTTATTTCTGTCCATGACCCCTTTGGGAAGATTGTCCTTCACTTCCTGCCCTGTGAAACCCCTGCTAGAAATGAGGGGATGTGGCTGTCACTGGGACAGAAAGGTATACACAGCAATAAACATTATAAGAAGTTCTAACCCTTCACCAGTGTCCATTGGAGAGATTTTCCCATCACATCCCTGACTTCTGTCCTGACCAACAAGGATACACACAGCAGTAATAACCAGAGGCGTAACTAGAAATCACAGGGCCCCATAGCAAAATTTTGTATGGGGCCCTGTGATTTCTAGTCACGTCCCTTGCAGAGCCCACCTGAGATCCCACACAGCCCACCTGAAAGTGACCCTGCAGAGCCCGCCATAGACTCTCTTAGGTGGGAGGGTCACACCCCTGCACACGTCTTACCTATCAGCCCCGATCCGCTGTCAGCCTCTTCCTCCTGCACAGGGCCCCGTCTCCCCTTCCATCGCCGGGCCCTGTCTCCCCTTCCATCGCCGGGCCCTGTCTCTCCTTTCATCGCCGGGCCCTGTCTCCCCTTCCATTGCCGGGCCCTGTCTCCCCTTCCATCGCCGAGCTCTGTTTTCCCCTTCCATCGCCGGGCCCTGTCTCCTCTTCCATCGCCGGGCCCTGTTTCCCCTTCCATCGCCGGGCCCCTCCTCCTCTGACATCACCGGCCCCGCTTCCTCTTCCATCGCCGGGCCCCGCTTCCTCCCCTGCTGACGCCGGGCCCAGCATCCTCCGCCGCAGCTGGTGGCTGTCACTGACACAGCAGCGGCTGTGAGGAGGAACGCGCTGCTGCAAAGATCACTGACAGGTTGTTGGTGATCTAACAGCGAAACGTTCCCTCTCACACCTGCCGGTGACAGCCAGCAGCACGAGAAGCCATAGCGACCCAGGCGGCCTGCACGGTATCAGGGGGATGTCCTGGCCGGGCCCCCCTGTGCCCTGGGCCCCATAGCAGCCGCCTGGGTCGCTATGGCGATAGTTACGCCACTGGTAATAACCCAACAAAGGATATGACTCTTCCAAAAAAAACTTTGGATTGCAGTTGGGCCAAGTCTCCAAGCTGTGGTTAACAAATATAGAGACGGTTGGTATTCCCTGTGAATATTGAAGATCTATATTGCTGGAAATGCCATACGTGTGAATTGAGACTACTAAAAGAAAAAAAACATCAGCCTGATATAAAGCATAATAGTGTCTTCAAATGAGTAAATGTGGAAATCACTAAATACATCCGGCTAGTTCATCAACTTCTTTCCTTGTAATGGCAGAGCCCATAAATCCTGGCTGTCCGCTCCCATACTCTGTGTTTGTGTCCAGTAGTGATGAGCTGAATGTACGTGGGTTCGGTTTGCAGGACATCCTCTAACTGCTCCTAATTTCAAAAGTTAATCTGAACCACATTGAAGTCAATTGCCTCCGAAAATTCGTGCCATTTTCAAGGCCTGTTCACAAGCTTTAGGTACAAAAGTGCATGGGTAGCTGGGTACTAACCTTGGTGATATATACCAATGCAAAAAAAATATCCAGTTTGGTGGGGAGCAGCTCTTTTTTAATGATGCTTCAAGTGGAACAATAAAAATGCAAAATTCCTCTAAATAACATGCTTGGGGGATGCCCTAAACCTGAATGTGAAGTGGTGCACCTCTATAGTGTATACAATGTATTGCAGCAAAGTGACATTTCCCCCCAAAAAAATTATCGCCACTAAACTTCTGCCTGCTTTTTTTTTTTTTTTTACAAAAACACCATGGGGGCCATCAAAAATCTATACCAGACCCTTATCCTAGACAAGGGGCTAGTAAGACTTTTTAAAGGGAGACCCCCTACCATAAGGAAAAAAAATCCATTCTAGACCCTCATCTTGGATAAGGGTCTGGAAAAAATTTAAAGGGGAACCTCATCCAAAAAAATAAAAGTGGTGTGGGGTCCCCCACAAAGTACATGCCCGAATCTTAACCTTGATGGGGGTCTGGTATAGATTTTAAGGGTGAACACCATGCAAAAATAAGTGGGATCCCCCTCAAAATCCATACCAGACCCTCATTGGAGCATGCAGCCTTGCAAGCCAGACAAGGTGGCCAGGAAGCGTGCACCCTCTTCCACCCTGAACCACACCAGCCCACATGCCCTCAACATGGGGCAAAGAGTCCATCCCTCAAAGCCCCCATGTTGATATATATTACTACATATTCTATATATGTCTTTTATATCCACCTAGAGTTCAGCTTGAAAGAAACCCTATCAGGTGTCCAAAGAATTCAAACCAGCAGGTCATCAGAGGAATTATACTCACCTCCCAGGCTGCTGATGTGTCCTACCTCCCCTCCACTCCAGTCCTGCAGCCTATCTGCTTTAGCATGCCACACTTCCAGGAGTGTCAGGAGCTCCTGTCCCTGGGACACTGGGTATGGAAGCAGCTATGGCACACTGCAGGGCACACAGGTATCCCAATGCCTAAGATACTGGCGGAAGCTGCAGCACTGGAATGGGAGGTAGGACACACAGGCAGCCAGAGGGGAGTGAGTATACTACCTCTGCTCTTGCAGGGACATGAGAGTTTGAATTCTTTAAAAGAGAAAAAAAACAGTACTGTATAGATATTTACATTGGTTTGATGTGCAAAAAAACACAGAAATGTCTCATGCTTTTTTTAATGTGTGCCCACTTAGGAATGAAAAGGATTGAAGCTTGGAATGAATTTCCATGCAGGAGCGAACCAGATAATACAACTAGAACTGTCCTAACTAGTCCTGGATACTAAATATTCAATTTCTGTAAGCAGGTTATTAGAAATGTTGCAGCTCCTGTGCAGAGGTGTCTCCACCTGAACACAAACTCTTCTCATCAAGAGGAACATCAAATCGTGAATTATTTTACCACGCCTGCACAGAAAATCCGAATATCCGTGCGATTAGTAGAGCAATTACTCCGATATAAATAATACCCTCATTAACAGAGAGATCAATTAACATTCCCGGCCGAGGTGCTCAACGGCAATAACAGCCCAGTAATCCGGCTATCAGATGCTCTGATTGGGCCCTAATCCATCAGATCCCTTTCACTGATAACCAAACTCCCTTCTATAATTGCGAATAATGTGCGAATACAGTGCGAAGTGCTGCTAACCACTGAATTCCTCGCACTGTGAGCAACGCAATTTAGGATTGTAGATAGTATCGATAGTATAGGTTGTATATAGTTTAATATAGATAAAGATAGCACAGATTGATTATTTATTTTCATAGTAAATGTAGTAAATACACAGAATGTATAATATGTTGATAAATTAATAAACAAGGCGTTACAGGTCAGGAAGATACAGATTTAATATGAATTTATTTAAATATTAGACTCCTATATATATACATATTTACAATTCCAGGCATGTTAGCACTGGATTCATCTGTTACCATTATATTATTAGTAGCAGTAATGACAGTTGTGTTCAGTCCTATAAATACTACCTGCCTATAAATATGTATTTATTTGATATTATTATTAGTGTTATTATTATGGTTATCAATAATAATAATATTTGTATATCAATAATATAATATAACTACATTAATTTTATTATGAAAATTACTTTTTTGAAATGACTATATGAAGTAATACTACTACTATTACTACTGTATTAGTATTATTATTATAAGTAGTAGTAGTAGTAGTAGTAGCAGTAGTAGTAGTAGTAGTAGTAGTAGTATGAATCGTTTTTATTTATAATATATATTGTATTATTCTATCATTGTTTATAATATATATTGTATTATTCTATGAATATTTATATAATATAATTGCACATCAATAACACAAAACATAACAATAACACAACACAACACAAAATATGCATTTATATTAGTATTATTATTCTAAATAAATATTAAATAACATTACTGATAAAAATGTTTTTATTAATATTACTACAAATGTTATTGATATATACAATTGTAGGTTATTAGGATTTTAGAGCGGGATGTAACTGTATTTGTTGTAATTTATATTATTACTTTCATAACATAATTTATATGAATAATCACAATGATTGCATCTAACATGAGATATGTTAAATAAAATCTCTATGCCTCTGTCCCGGTGAGTAGATGAATGGACATTGGTACATTGTTATTAATTATTGCTACGTCCTATCTATTTGCTACAAAGTAACAACATCTCCCACTCACTCTATCCTCCTATACCGATCATTTATGAAAAACTGGAACACATTTACGATCCTTTCCGATACAAGCACCGACAATTCAATCTCTCATTGTCCTTTGCCTTCTAGGACTACTGCACATCTTCAGTCCAGATGAAAATGTTTGATATCACGATTCAGAATTACCCTTTAATTACTTGCCTCCAAAACTCCCAATTTCGCCTCTAAAACTAAACCTATCTAATGGAGTCCTATAAAGCTTTGGAACCCTCTGTGAGATGACAAGTACCCGCATGCCTATGCTCTCAAGGCTCTCTGGTACTTGTGGTACCCCAGCAGAGAGGGATCACACATTGCACACTCTGCTCACCCATTGCAGCTCCCTGATGGTTGCTGTGGTTTATCAGGACGGCGTTTAAAGCTATTTAGGACCATCAGCAGCAGGGGGAGGGTGATATTGTAATTAAGGGCTTTGACATATGCTGGGACGTTGGGAGGCGCCGGACTTTTTGAACTCTGATATATAAGCCAGGTCTAATGAGCAGGAGCAGCACCTGGTCTGTCTGGAAGGATCCCAGATGACATTTGCTGAAGGGAATCTGAGAGGGTTTTGTTTATGAATTTGGCAAACTTCTCCTACTACCCAGGCATGTGCACCATGACTGTAGAGTCGCAGCAATCACCCACCGAAGGCTCTAGTCCTATGGGGAGTTCGCCCAACCTGTCCATGGACTCCCCTGGGTCTGCCCGGCTCAAGGATGGGGTCTCCATTAAGTGTGAGCCTAAGGGGAACTGCAGTCCAGTGGAGGAGTTCAGCGATGCTGGCCACCTCGATGAACACGTCCATGCTTCTGGCGGAAGGAGAAGAAAACGCCCAGTGCAAAAAGGGAAACCACCCTACAGCTACATTGCCCTGATCGCCATGGCCATTGCCAATTCTCCAGAGAGGAAGCTGACTCTGGGAGGGATCTACAAGTTCATCATGGAGAGGTTCCCCTTCTATAGAGAGAACTCCAAAAAGTGGCAGAATTCCATCAGACATAACCTGACCCTCAATGACTGCTTTGTGAAGATCCCCAGAGAACCGGGTCACCCGGGCAAAGGGAACTACTGGACTCTGGACCCTGCAGCAGAGGACATGTTTGATAATGGAAGCTTCCTCAGGAGGAGGAAGAGGTTCAAGAGAACGGATATTACCACCTACCCCGGATATATGCAGAACAGCAGTGCATTCACCCCTACTCCAGCTGGAAGACCTTCATTTCCCAACAGCCTCTACTCCAGTGTGGGCTCTGGCTACAACCACCAAATACACTCCACCACCTCCCACCACCCAGCCATGGTCCATCACTACCAGACCCCTGCTGGATCAGGACAAGGACCTCACAGGATGTTTAGCATAGACAGTCTCATCAACCAGCAGTCCATGATGCAGCCCTCCCCTGGCTCTGATCTGAACCACCACTCCATGGGCTTAAATGGGGACCTTGAAAACATAGGGAGCAGCTGTTCTGTAGACTTGTCCTGTTTTCAGACTCAGTCTGTCAGCCCTACTGGTTTAGGATCCTTGATCAACAGGTCAACTAATCCTATTGCCTCCAACTTGTCCTATTCTTACTCTTCCTCCCCTCCTCACCTTCAGGTGCCTCAAACCAGCTACTCTCCTAATAATTCTCAAATCTATGGCGCCTCCAACAGACTTTCCATGAGGTCTGCCAGTTGCATAGGACACACAGATCAGCTACTGACATTACCTGCTCCTCAGATGAATGGGGTCTGTCAGTACAACAACAATTCTTATATGAGGCAGCCCAACTTTTCTTCTGGACTGGAAAGATATATGTAGTTGAAATGTCACTGGAGCATATTCAGTCAGGCAGTATAAAGAGCAATGGTGAGGTGCTAAGTATAATTATCCATATTAACTATAACTCAGTATGTCTCTTTAATAACATTAGGAAAAAGTATTTTTTAATTGGTTGCTATGCTATACTTGTGTACATTATAATTGATCTTTGTACTGCCTAAACGAATAAGCCCATTTCTGTCATTATAATTTTATTTAGAAATGTTTACATTCCGTAACCTGTAGCAGGCAACCTGTATCTTAAAAGTTATTGAGGAGCTGTTGTCTCAGCAAATCTTTAAAAAAAACAGAATTGAATATATTGCTTGTCTACTTATGCTGGACATAAATGGATCCATTTTTGTCTGTTACCAACCATGCTATGGTCTTTGTTTTCTCCAAACAATCACAGCACTTTGTAGGTCAATTATATGTGGCAGATCTCTATTAGAAACTATAGTGGGCCATACATCAGCCTGTCGGGGTTATAATAACCAACTCCATAAACCCAAGTCCCCTTTGGACTGGTTTGTCTTTGAGTACTGTTTTGCTGAACAGATCATATAGACAAAATTTAAATTGCAGTTTTGAGAGCATTGGCTATGAACAATCTCTGTTGCTTCTTGGATTTTAATAGTAACCATGTCTCCCTGGCAGGTGGGGAGACATCTGCCAGTTCTCAAACACTCAAATATCTGCAGCCACAGCAAAGTTCTGTCTTCTCAATAAGGAAAACAAGACTGGCACTACCACATCATTTTTTGCCGTTTTGAAGCACTCATTATTGCCTGCTCAGATAGACACAACTGGTTGAATCAAAGGGAATCACATAGCGTGGTCAGTTGAAGTGGCTTTGGGTAGCCTTTTTCAGACCAATAACTTCACCAGTTCAATAGGCTTGAGCTTGTAACAATCCGATCACATTGACATCAGACATAAATCTCCAGATCAAGCCATATTTGGTTGGATCAGATGGTGATCTCACATCTCTGAGGCACCCCAGACAGCACCAGCTAAACATTGCTTTAGGGGGAAATGATGATTAAAGGTTACAAAACCTTGTTCAATTTCCATTGTTTTACCTCTAATAAGCTGTTGTTTGGAAATGTTTACAGCACAAGATGAACCATTTTTGGGTAGGGGCCTGGCAGTCATCACAGATGCATGAGGATGATATGATCATACCTACTACATCATCTATCCTCTGGCTGCTTAAATCATCAGCTTCTTGGTTCTCCTTGACAATGGGGTTGATTTTTTTGAAGGAGTAGAGACTGTTACCTTATTAAGGCAAATATTCACCTAGCTTAATAAATAAGTTGAAGCTGACCTCTTTTTCCCCTGCATTGTTTGTGCTGCAATGTGCAACTCATCAACATATGCACTATAATTAATAAGCTAGGTTGACATTTACGTTGCTAAGTTAATAGCTTCTACACCTTTAGTAAATCAAGCCCAATATATACCTGGGTAAAGGAACTCCGATCATGCGGAAAGAATGGTTTAATTAATTCATCAATGCTTGAACTGCTGTATAATTGGTACTAATACACTAAAAAGAATATAATGAGAGGAATGTGATTATTCATGGGGGGCTTATTTACTAAAGGAATATAGACTTTTCCCTTAGCTTTAAATGGATTGTATTTACTGCAATCACATGCAAGCATAAAAAAACATATTTTTTAATTGAACACGGCTTTACCTTTATTAAGCTAAGTGAGCATTACCCTGAATCTCACTATAGGAATACTCTTGGTTTGTAAATCAACTTCCTTGTCTTGCGCAAAAAAAAAATCTATTTGTGCCTAGCAAAAAAATTCATTCCAGGTATATGTTAACGCATTTTTTCTGTTACTTTAATCTGTGAAAACCATGCACTGATTGTGTCATATTTTAGCTTCAACCATTATGTCTTCTACTTTTTACTTTTTTTGTACAGAGTTTAGTATTACCCATTCCCTGAAACAGAACACTTGTAGCAAATCCATTTACATAAATAAACTTTGTGTCCTTTGTAAAATGTCAGACTTCTTTCATAACTGATGCTCTAAATGTCAGACACATTTTCCTGATAGAAAGTGTACTGTGTATGCACCAAGGCTGGACGGCCTATCAATCTTGGCTTGCTGTGGAGATCCGTGTCCCGGAGGCAGGGTGGGATTTTTGGTTAATAATCTCTGTATAGTTGGAAACTTATTTAGGTGTACATCATGCACATAGACCAATAATTACCAATACAAATCATTGCCAGTTTTTAGTATCTTCACCCATTAAAACATTGACATTTTTGGTGTAGCATGTTTTTTTTAATTAGGTACAGACCTTCTCACATCTGTCTTTACATCTAAGGTAGCCATAGTCTGATGTACAAACTCCAATCGGACCAGTGAATACATTTTTCCAAACATTTGCGAGTGAATGTGCAGGCTTGGATTGTCTGGGCAGGCTTCATGACAAACTGGTCTAGCTGATGGACTGATCTGTTGGGAAACATTGGCCTGGAGTGTGTGTTGGAGGACGTGACATGAGGTAGAGAATTTCACTTGACTGGTGATCAGATGACAATCATCTTAGAGGCTGATTTACTAAAGGACATGAGCATCTTACAGCAATACATTGTGGAGATTCACTTCCATTATCCAGTCATGTAAAAAGCAAATTCCTGTTTATTTTTTCTGCACGTGACTGGGTGTTCAAAGTAACACAGCCATAAAGTATTGAGTGAAGAGTCCCGACTCCTTTAGTAAATCGACAATGTCTGTTCATACCTGGATTAAAGAAATACCAGTATCCAGAGAAATACATATACACACATATCCATAATATTTATTTGGGTGAAGCATTCACAGAGAGTTTGTCTATCAGTATGTTGATAATGCCATTACTGACTTCTCATTTTGAAAATGCTAGTTGTCCAATGGCCATACCAATCCAATGGCTTCAATACTGTGAGTCACTGTCTTGAAATAAGTATTCTCCTCATGAGCTCTGAATTAAAGTAGACCTGAGGCCTCGCATTAAAAAATGTACTAGTTGTCCAATGGCCATACCAATTCAATGGCTTTAATACTGTGGGGTTGATTTACTAACCTTATAAACACACCACGAACATGTATACACCTCTGTAGTGTGTTCCCTCCCAGCATGATCTATGGGTGGAATCTAAACACCTTTGTAGTGTGTACACACCCAGCAGGTGTGTTGTGCAAAGCCCTGCATGAATTTGCAAGGTGATGTTGTGTAAATTAGCTCTATGTTGTGTTGCTTGCGTTGATGAATGCAGGAATGTAAATGCATGAGCTAACCATTTTTGTCTAAACTGTGAAGCAGCATTATATATGCATCATGTACATGATTTTTCCATATATGGCATTAGTGGAAATATGCTTTTAGAGACTTTTTGGTTGATAAATACGTTTTGCTGTGTAAAAATCACACGCACCTAGTGCGTGCGTGTTTAGGTTAGTAAATCACCCCCTGTGAGTCACTGTCTTGAAATAAGTATGCCCATCAGGAGCTCTGAATTAAAGCAGATCTGAGGCTCCCAATTAAAAAATATGCTAGTTGGCCAATGGCCATGCCAATCCAACGGCTTTATTACTTTCAGTCACTGTCTTGAAATAAGTATACCTATCAGGAGCTCTGCATAAAAGTAGATCTGATGCCTCCCATTAAAAAATATACTAGTTGTCAAATGGCCATACCAATCCAATGGCTTTAATACTTTGTGTCACTGTCTTGATATATGTATGCCCAACAGGAGCTCTGCATAAGACCCCATTCACACTGAGCGATTTGTAGCACAATTTCCACTCAATCGCTCAAACATGACGCTCAATGTAGCTCGTCCAATGCATTTCAATGGAGCTGTTCACATCTCACAGCTCAATGTCACCTGCAGCTTGTAGCTCAAGCTTGTCGCTCGAACATAACCTATTTTTTTAGCGTATTTTGTGCAATTTGGCCCCAATAGGCTTTGATAGACTGCCAAAAGAAGCGCTACGTAGCGCAACAAAATGTGCACTGTACCTCAATGTAGCTCAATGTCACTCAGCTCAAATCAGCACTGATAAAGCGGTTTGTTTCATGTAGCAAAGTGTGAATGGGGTCATAAAGCAGAGCTGAGGCCTCCCATTAAAAAATATGCTAGTTGGCCAATGGCTTTAATACTTTGAGTCACTGTTTTGAAATAAGTATGCCCATCATGAGCTCTGAATTAAAGTAGAACTGAAGCAACCCAATAGAAAAATATTAAATAAGTATTAAACTCTCAAATATTTTTTCAGTAATTAATTCAGATCAATTACTGAAAGCTGTAGCTTGCGGTATACTGAGCTTTGTGTGACGGGAGGATGCTAGTTTGTGTCCTCCCGTTACCCTTAGGAGAACTATGGGGAAAAGCACTGACACCCATAGTTCTCCTTTAAGTCATTTAAAATAACTTAAAAACCTTTTGAATTCAATATCACTTTAATGATAGATTCTTCTGCACGTAGAGTTTTATCTTAGTCCCCCTGCAAAGTCTCACAAATACCTATTGTTTCTTCCAATGAAGTCCACCTACTACAGCTTCCTGTGATGGTGTGACGACAATGCTGCACTACTCCTAGATTCTGATCAGAGTTGCCCCTCTCCTGTAGGCTGTGCCAGCTTGCACTACAGTGGTATGAAACAATATTGCAGGGGGCGTGGCTATCAGCATTGTTACTGCTGATTCATAAGCCAATTGTCAATCAGCACCTGGCCACAACGTGTCCTGCCCACTGCTTTCTAGATTGACAGCAAGCACTGCCTCTGTGATCTGCAGTGTTTGGGGGTGTGGGGGGGTGTCTAAAGCACAAATAAGGTGGATTTGGTATAGTAAGTGAAAGTAAAGTATATTGTTTGTTATTTTATGAGGTTTGTACATCACATAGTAACTGGATTTGGTAAATGACCACCATATAGGAGCCTTGTACTCTACCTCTGACTACACTTGCTGCATGCTTGTTCCTGGT